CGTTTCACTAGGTATATATTGAATATCAAGATATGTACGATGGTCCATATCGTACATATCTTGATATAATGGACAATATATATAATGGATAGTATGTACTATAAGTACATATTATCTAAACAGGAGGATGGGCTGGGTATATGTTATATTCAGCCCATCCTCATAAACATTGGCCAAATGTTCGGCAATCCAGTAACTCTCAAGTCGATTGTCTCAAGTCACAATCGACTTGAGAATGGTCCAGGACGGACCGAAACGTCGTCGTCCCTTCACCTTCTAGTGTGTGGTCTGGTCAACATAGCTTGTCAAATGCTACTGTTGCGAGAATTGGGCAACTTGGTTTAGACTCCAACGGCTCGAACACAGAGGAGCACATAACCCAGAGTAATGGGGAGAAAGACCTTGTAAGTGACATGAAACGAAACTGGAAAAATACTCCTACATCAGCAGAATAACAGCAACAGACGAACATCGGGGTAGCACTAAGGAACATAAATAAAGTGGCCTACGGAGAGCTATATGGCCTGTGCTGTAACGCCAAGCCACAAGGCAAGGGGTGTAAGAAAGTACTTCAATGAAAGGTGAGCAAGTTGCTTCTGACGATTAATTGAAAATGCGGGGCCCGGGAGCTGATTCTTGTGACCGACAGGCGCATTTAGGTCCGTACCGCTACCCCCTTCCACTGCATTTGTACACACGCTCGCGAGTGTTATACTGCACACAAAAATTCCATTAAAAGCGATCTCGGACGCCTTGATATATAAACATGTCAAGAAATACAAAGACGCATTAGAAACTCCTTGAGTCAGTATGCCAGTGTCAAAGCACTGGATCTTGGGGAGTCATTGTACACAAGTGACCAGAGCAGGTGTTAAGAGGTGTAGCCTAGGCGCACGTGAGAGTGAGTTCAACTTTCTCTGTTTACTGTGATTTTCGAGCTTTCTCTCAATTTCTCAGCTATTACTGGTTCACACAGTTTGTTTCTCATGAGTGCCCCTCCCACTCTGTCAGTTTCTTTCCCAACGTCTCCCTCTCTGTCTCTGTGGTTTATGACGAATGGACTTCGTATGTATATTTAGTGTTTAATCCTTAATTGCCTATGATATCTAACATGTGCGTACCCATCAGCGTCTGTATGGAGCAATACAGGGATGTGTGTTCCACTTTCCTAGCAATCTGTACCTGGATTGTTTACATCTATTGACGCTAGAGTTCATTGTCGTATTTAGCTCTTGAAAGTAGATAGAAATAGCTTATAAATTATATCTGGGTCATTTGCATTTCAAACTTGAATGTCCTCTTGTCCCTCAGTTTTAAAACGTTGTCCCTGTACATTTTTCTATCACTTAGTATTTTGTATATGGTGATCAAGTCTCTTGGTTCTTTTTTTCTGAGGTTGTTAGGTTGAGCGTTCTTAACGTGTCTTCCTAGATTAGTCATGTTGAGTACCATCGTTGTTGTATTATTGCTCTTCAAGATTATTTAACTCCGGTACTTCATATTCTGCAACTTCTGTTTATTATATTGAGAGTTCACACTGGAGTTTTTATAAGCTGCTGTTATGCTTGTCAGCTTTGCATATGTTGCTGATATTTTCTTGTGTGTGTGCATCCGGTGCTGGTATGACGTCTTTAAAGGATATAGAGGTACATAATGGCTTCAGAAACTGAACCCCAAAATTCATTTATCTAACGGATTTACAGGCTTGATATGATAGGCTAGTTACACGGTTCAATATGTATGTAGACAATATGTTCGAGAACGCCCACAAGTACAGTCTCGAATCTAAGCAACTTACATTTGCGGTGAGCTAGTTTGATTATTGGATTTGCTTATCGTGCAACCTCTTTCCCTCCCATCCTGTGGGCAGCGGTGGAAAGGTTACAATCATCCACATTTACTACGTACAGTTAGAAAACTGAATATTTTACTAAAATTTCTGGTATTAGATCATTCTAAATGAAATATTACATATTTCATCAATATTTATTTTCGAGCTGTCCCTAAATTCATTTGTTTTCGCACTCCATCACAGTGACGCATGGTGTACGAATAATTTTGCTGACAATTTACACTTGGTCAGGTCAGCATCAACAGGTAGTGTAAACTTATAACAGTCAAAACTGAGCTGGCTAGCAGGCATTGTTTGTGGTGTGGGCGCGGGACATGCAGGAAAGTGCGATGCAAGCGGAAAATATGTATTGCAATAGCTGCCTAAGAGAACAACAGCTCGGGAGTGTTTCCCGCTGTTTTGCATCTGCACCAAATGGAACAGTTATAACGAGTAGAAGTGTGCTGGAAGGGAATATATTGAAGTATACACAGGAATCCACTCGCTGCCAGAAGTTGTGCTGGACAAGTTGTAGACAGCACCAAGTTGGAGGTGCTGGACACAGTTGTAGAGATGCTCAGCTTGATAAGTGGTGACTTTTGAATTACAGAATCTTTTTCGGTCTGTTTAACGAGACAGGAAGTGGGCTACACACTAGTTAATGGCTACTACGAGGCGGGGGGGGGGGGTGAAAGTCTGTTTCTTTTGAACTCCATTCCTAGTTTGGTGCTTGATAGACCACCTATTCTCATTTCTCTCTGTATAACTCGTACTGCTGGGTTACTAGGCTGATATATTTTCTCACCTGAATGAGCGTAATTAGGACTTGAAAAGTTAAGTGTCGAAGATGTGTGAACAAAACCAAGACTGCATTTGTGTCAACCATGCATGAATATCTGACAAAGAATGAACTAATAGTTACAAGGCAGTGTACGATATGACATCAAGCAGCAACATACTTAATTGTCAAAACCTTGCCTCGATACTTTACCTCAACGGGAAACTTAATCAAGAGGGTTAGCACATTTTTCATAATCAGTCTGTAGTTCCTGAACAAGAGACCCACATGGACACTCATAACTTATGGTATCCTCAAAACTAAAATATTTCTCTTAGTTCAACCATAGATGTTTCCCCAGTTGTCAGGCTGTATGTTTTAATAGTTACCTGTTGTCAGATTAAGCTGATGGATTTGATAGTTTGCTGCCACCTACCATCGTTCACTGCAATTAAAAAAACAATGTCGCCATTGCCTTTATGTAGAAAGTGACCTAGGCTTCCCTGGCGCCTAACACTCCAGACAAACATCATGCCACCGTCATTCCAGACAACCATTCTCAATAAAGATGTGTAGCACTTTTACTCGGCAATTTAATCTATATACTATTATAGTAGCATTATATTAAATACTTCTTATACATAGTTCTACGATGTGTTAATGTGTGCAATAATTTGGATATATATTTTACCAAAAAATGGTTCAGGTACATGTTTTAAATGTTCGGGGACATTATATGGTTAAAATTCAGAACCAGTCGACTGTACTAGCTTAGGGTACACTATTAGCTGGTGGGTATGGAAAGGGAGATGTGGACATGGTACACAACTAGCTGGGAGATGTGGAAACGGTTGCGCGACTAGCGGATTGATCAGGAAGGGATATGTGAGAGTTTGGAAACTCATTCTATATTACATTTGTATTAAGAGATTCACCAACTATACATGTTAATTACCATAGTGGAACAGCAATGAGCCCTGGACAGGGAAGATCTCTGGGGCACCGTTCTTCAAGTGGTCGCCTCTATTCACTAAGCAGTAATTAGGGACCTGATTTTAAACAGACTGTGGATTATGTTGCAAGGAAAGCTAGTAGGACAAGGCTTAAGATGAGCTGTAGATAGGAGCCTGCTAACACGAGTCAAGTTCTGTACTCCTGTACCCACCCGTGGTACAACAGTATATATATTAGGCAATCTGTTGTCGAGTATGGTTTTATAACATGGGGCTTCTCGACCTTGCCTCTTGATTTGTATGTTATCAAGAGATAAGCAGATATTGGTTATCGCTGTGGTTCAGATAGGCAGATATTGGTTATCGCTGTGGTTCAGATAGGCAGATAACAGTTATCACTGTGGTTCCCTACACCACGTTTAGCTTTGATTTTCACTTCTTTATAAATATTATACAATACACATGCATTATCATTCTTTTCCTACATACATGGTTATGAGGAGGCTTTACTTGGAAGAAAAAGTAAATAGGAGTCTAAAAGGTATAGATATTTAATAAAGAGTAGTTTGATCGTTCACACTATATGGCACGGGGAATAATAAACAAGCCCCACTACTCTTCAGCAGTCGTCCAATGCAACAACACACTGTTTAATAACACCAGGTGTACAGTGCTCCCCGTGAATTGTCATATACAGTGTATACAAATATTTATTCTCGGCTTCCACCCAGTCTTGTCCCCTTACCTTATCGAGCGTGTTGTTCACACTACCCACTTCCTCTCACACACACATTGCGTCCGCCCACCTTTTGCAGGCTTTTCTCAATACCTTGGGTTGCTGTCCTGCCATGCTGCTTCCAGCACTTAGTAAAGTAATATGCCTCTATAAGTCTTTTACTTGCTAAATTTTCCTTCATATTTTAGCCTATCCGAATATGGTGATACAATCACAGCCATTTTTGCCAGTCCCGTGACAGCATGACTGTTGCATGAATGGCAAGTTCACCACACCCACTCTATTCCTTTTCTCCACTACATTTAGTAAACACCTGCAGCTTTCCCACATTGCAGCTTTTTTCTTGATGTACTCGCCTCTTCCATCGACATATCAGCTAGCATACGATCATTCATGCTTCTCACTCCATCAAATCTAATCATCTTCGCATTACCAACGTTTTAATCACTGCCACACATTAGGCTTTCAGTGCATTCTATCCCACTAATTTGATCTCTTCTGCATGTAACAGTCTACCGTGTCTGTGTCTTTTAACATTCCAATTTACCCGTTCACCAGTATCATTGCTGCAATTACATATATTTTTTTAAATATTATGTGCGGTAAATTCTAAATGGCTTTAAATCATGTTTTACATTTATGAATGATTATCACTCCAGCTTTATACAAATTTTACTCTAACATCATATTTTTTCTGTGCAGGTACAGCTGCATGTCCATTTGGATGGTGCCATACGGCACGAGACCCTCTGGGAGGTCATGAGGTAAGTCTGTGGGGTCGGAGTTATTGGAAGGGGGTAAAGTCAATTGGGAATTTTCTCAGGTTCAAACGGGAGTTTTTCACCACCGTTTATCACATGTAATGAGTATGTAAATCGCACAAGTTTCGTGATCAAGGACATCTTCTTCATACATAGAGTTGAATCTGGCCTGTTGGATATCGAATAGATATTTCTGTTACTAGCAGCAATGATACCGTATCTTGTTGACCAACCCACACACACTAAAAATTGAAGAAACAACGACGTTTCGGTCCATCCTGGACCATTATCAAGTCGATGGTCCAGGATGGACCGAAACGTCGTCGTCTCTACAATTTCTAGTGTGTGGTTTGGTCAATATTTTTCAGCCACGTTATTGTGACTCTTCATCTGCATACCGTATCTTGTGCTGCTTGACAAATCAACCCGTGGAATTAATAAAGCTTAAATTCAAATTCAAATTCAAAATTCAAATGTTTATTCAGGTAAAGTACATACATACAAGGGGTGATACAAATATTGATGAATTTATAGATAGAGCTAGTACATACAATGCCTAAAGCCAAATGAATTAAATGAAAATCGTTTTGAGAAGCCTGGGAAGAGTAAGAGGAAGCAGAGGTAGTCTGGGTCCGTGTAGGCCGTTGCAAGCTTATCCCCTTGTCCACGTACCTGTGGCAAATCTCAGTCGAATATTAGTGTTTTTTTTACAGAATATAAACAAACACACTTTGTGCATATTTCTAACTGAGCCTCAAAAACGTCCATAGCACTTTGGAAATGGGGCAATGCCCGCTATCTCTTGGAGTACCATTCGAGTGGTGGATCTTGTAAGGGACAGACGTTCCTAACTCGATCGGCCAAAGAAATTTGTGTTCTCTCAGTCCCACTGTCAAGTTAATACTGTGATCTGAAATCACTGGTTATTCAGAATCAACAACTATACTTCTCTCGTCAGTAATACATGAGAATTATTGAGCGCAACTTTAGCTCATTTAGAGAAGACTCGAAGGGGTACCTGGCTGCATCCGGGTATCGTCCCCTCTTCCCACCCCCCATCCCCCCGTTGGACTAGGTTATCACAAGTCGAGCCTAGCCCCAGGCCGGGCTTGGGAAGTAGAAGAACTCTCGGAACCCTCTCCAGGTAATAGCTACTGTAGAGGCAAATGATACACTTGTCAAGGAGTAATCAACGGCACGTGTGTGTGTGTGTGTGTGTGTGTGTGTGTGTGTGTGTGTGTGTGTGTGTGTGTGTGTACTCACCTATATGTGCTTGCAGGATCGAGCATTGACTCTTGGATCCCGCATGATCCCGCATCCCGTGTGTGTGTGTGTGTGTGTGTGTGTGTGTGTGTGTGTGTGTGTGTGTGTGTGTGTGTGTGTGTGTGTGTGTGTGTGTGTGTGTACTCACCTAGTTGTGTCTGCAGGATCGAGCACTGACTCTTGGATCCCGCCTATCCTTGGATCCTTGGATCCAAGGATAGAATGGATCCTTGTGTGTGTGTGTGTGTGTGTGTGTGCCACAGCTGTGCATATCAATAAGAACCACATGTTCTTAATGATATGTATTGAGAGCTGCTGTGTTGTAAGAAAGAATATATCTGATAATCTTGCAAATAAACATTTTAGGAAGTGTCTGTCTATATACAATAAATTCCAAACTAAGGTGGGCTAGCATGACATAACAACTAAATGCTTCTTTTGTGAATTAGTTTTGGGGGGTTATTATTTAGGCTAGTCATTCCTAGATCATTATTTCTGGAATGTATTCAGAATGTTTGCCCAACCTGCATACTCCCTCTAGTCTTATTCTCCTCCTCAAGCTCCATTACATTGGCAGCTCTCTACATTAAATATGTACCTATTTTTATCAAGATCAGAAGTGTGTGACATTTTTGCATTCTTTATTTGTCCAGTTATCTTCAGATAAGTAAATATATTCATATGCAGCAGGTGTGTGTGTGTGTGTGTGTGTGTGTGTGTGTGTGTGTGTGTGTGTGTGTGTGTGTGTGTGTGTGTGTGTGTGTGTGTGTGTGCTCACCTATTTGTGCTTGCGGGGGTTGAGCTTTGGTTTTTTGGTCCCGCCTCTCAACTGTCAATCAACTGGTGTACAAATTCCTGAGCCTACTGGGCTCTATCATATCTACATTTAAAACTGTGTATGGAGTCAGCCTCCACCTGACTGTTTGTGTGTGTGTGTGTGTGTGTGTGTGTGTGTGTGTGTGTGTGTGTGTGTGTGTGTGTGTGTGTGTGTGTGTGTGTGTGTGTGTGTGTGTAGTACCTACGCCAGCGTTAATGAGGCTGGAGACAAAGATGCCAAAATAGACAGTGTGAGTGGTGCGTGCGCAGGTCTGGCCTGGCCACGAGGCACACACCAGGCTACATCTTGCCAAGGGAAGCCTGAGACTCTGACGTGATGATAGACAGGGCTGTGACCAGGCTCAGCTGGACCCCTGTCACCTGCGGCCATGCAGGCAGCTATTGGTCGTGGAAGAGGCAGCAAAGTTGTTTGGTAGAAGACAATCAAGGTAGTGGTTAGGCAGACAGGGGGTGATACCTTAATGGGATCTATTTTTTGTCTTTTTCTTTTGTTGACGCTTAGCGTAGGTGCTTTTGTTGGCGGCGCCTAATGTTGGTGCTCTTGTTGTTGGCACCTACAGCGCTTTTTTATACAGCTGATTACCATTATATGCTAATTATAATAGTAAAATATTAATAAAAAATATCCTTCCAAACTATCATTTACTTGGCGTTGATGCAAACATCATTGCACACACAAACTGTATGGAAATGGGGTAACTATCTTATATGAGCAAGAGGTCACGACCTCGCCGTAGGGTGCAGTCGCACCTCCACAGATCTCCAGTATCAGCTATTTATACTGGTAATGACTCCAAAGGGCCACCACTTACGGGCTATTCATGCCCGTGCCACCTTTTGGGTGGCTTAATCTTCATCAATCAATCAATCTTTATATGAGCAAGCAGTCATGTGTAGCTTTCGGCGAGATACAAGTGCATATGACAGCTGTGTTCCTCTAAAAATGGCTTTAACTACTGGACATACCCAAAGACAAGTGGTATACCTGGAGCATACCTGGAGAGGGTTCTGGGAGTTCTACTCCCCGGGCTCGGCCTGAGGTCAGGCACGACAGTCGAGGCGGCTTTTGAAGTAGGCGGCTGCGATAAGATAAACTTGATTGACTGATAACATATTCTTTGAGGGGTTCCGAAACCAGTCTCTTAACATTAAGAGAGCGTATGTAGTGATGTCAGACTATTAACAGTGCCGGCATGGTGGCACCTGACATGGCACCCGGAATGGAACTTGCACCTCGTGAAGCATAAAAACGAACTTAGAATATAGAGGCTTGCGAGTAGTAAAATAAAAGAGTCCAGCAGGTTCGAAGCTAGTGGGTGGAACATGAAAAACGAGACCTGGCTTCTCTATAGTCACAGTGCTCAGTAAATACCCTTCCCAACTGGAATCCATGCCTCCCCAATGAAATCATTACCCCCCCCCACTGGAATCATTGCCCCCCTCTGGAATCAGTCCCCCACTGGAATCACTGCCTCCCCCCACTGGAATCACTGCCCCCACTGGAATCACTGCCCCCACTGGAATCACTGCCCCCCTCCTACTGGAATCACTGCCCCCAATTGGAATCACTGCCCCCACTGGAAACACTGCCCCCCTCCTACTGGAATCACTGCCCCCAATTGGAATCATTGCCCTCACTGGAATAACTGCCCTCCCACTGAAATCACTGCCACCCACTGGAATCACTCACTCCCACTGAAATCATTGCCACCACTGGAATCACTGCCCCCTCTCCACTGGAACAACCAACCCCTTCCTCTGGAATTACCCCCCGCATAAGAACTACCACCCCCTCCCCCCTACCACCCCCTCTCACTGGAACCACTCCTTCCCACTGGAACCATTCATCCCCTCTGGAACCCTCCCCATTGGAACTACTACTCCTCAATGGAACCACCACCATTGGAACCTTCATTACATTCAAACAACTGTACACCAATCTGTTCATTAGTTTCCTGTAATCATTGCACTACAAGTACAGTACTTATTACAGCACCCTGTTCTTATTCTGTGATATGCTGCCTTAGAGATAACTTTCTCTACTTCCCTGGCATGATGAACATACTGTACCTAGCTTTGTTAGCGATACCTAAGGCATACAGGCATGTGACTTATTGGCATTACATGTTTTGTTGAAATCTGGTGAGATAGTGAGAGGTGAAACTGTTGATCATGCCCAATTTGAATTACAGTATTTGCTTGTTTGCATATTAGTGCAAGATTTACAAAAACAGTTTTTGGATATTTTTGCACTTTATTATAATGTTAATCTATTTTACTTATTTGTTTAATAGTAAATCCTGATTTGTACTCTGTAAATCTTTATATCAGTCTCATTCTTCTCTCTCAGACATAAAGGAATGAAGCTGCCAGGCAGAGGCTCGCTTGCAGACCTAAAGACCGCTGTTCAGGTGCAGGAACCCAAAGATCTTGGACTCTTTCTCAGAGGTTTTCAAATCTTTTTGCCTGCCATCGTGTAAGTTGAACAAGTTTTTATTTAATTTTACTAAAATTGTAATGTGTGTGTTTGCTACTTAGGCTTGTTAGATTACCATCAATGTTTGCAATTCATTATCTAGGTCTAGAGTGAAAATGTTAAGTTTTATGTATTTTGACAGTACTGTACTGTATAATTATCTGCCCTGAAGGAAGTTCTTACTTTCTGAAGTTGCCATTGATGACATAAAGTAAAATGCATAAGTTTAGTAATGGAATTTAACTGAAACATTGAACTTTTTACTCAACATTGGTTATGGTACATTGTGTTGAGATGCAGGATTTTGATTTAAAATGCATAACATCTTGCAGAGGAGACCTTGCTGTCATAGAAAGAATAGCTTATGAATTTGTGGAAGACCAAGCCAATGACTCTGTTGCCTACTGTGAAGCCAGATTCAGTCCCCACTTGCTACTTCCAAGTGAGCAAAGTCAACCCAACTTACACAATGAGGCAGAAGTACAACTAAATGGCACAGTGGTTGGGAGTAATGGAGGCAAGTTTTTTGTGTGATAGTTTTGGAGGAATAATTATTCTATAGACTTAATGTTGTATAATACTCTTTTTTTTTCATTTTGGTGTACTAGATATACAGTAGATAGATACTGCAGTTAAATAAATTGAGGTCTAGATTATATTGTTAAAAATAAATAAATTGACACAAACTCTATATGACACATATTTCAGATTCCATCAATAATGAAGTTACTGTGGATTCTATCCTAATTGCTGTTCTGAAAGGTCTGGCACGTGGTGAGGAGGACTTTGGTACCAAAGTTCGAGTTATCATTTGTTGTATACGAGGAATGTCACGTAAGTATATTTGCAACTTTCTTGTTCCTACACTTCCATATTTATGTTCCATGTTCTTGTTCCATATTTACTATTTATGAAGAATAGTTAATAATCCTTATTTTTAGACATTAAATATCTTGACGCTGCAGAAGTCAGTTGAAAGACCAATCCTCTATGTTGAAGTCCTCACTAAATATCACTAAATGTACCGCTGTCATTAAGTCTGTGATAGTAGATCCTCTGAAATACAGTACTGAAAGGTAGCTTAAACTAAATTTATACTTACTTTTACTCAACTTTAATATTTTGAATGTTTAATTAACTTATTTTGTTCTCCCAACTTTGTTACTAAGTGGCAAGTTTGTTGTTCAGTCAATATCAATTCAAAGGATCTTAGTGGCTAGTTTATTTTTCACCACATTTGTGTCATTTTGATGGTACAGTATTAAAAAAGTACAGGATGACACAACTAATACAATACAGTATAAGCATAAATTTACGAAAATGTTTGTAAAACATTAGTAAATGCATATATAGTATATACTGTACAGCAGAGTTCATTTTTACAAGATCCTTCAATATGCACAACATATCAGGCAAGTTTTCAAACAAATGAGAGCTTTTTTTATACAGAGTATATGCAGATCAGTAGGTTTGTTACCTTTAACTAATGTATACCACTAGAATGACTTATTACCTGATACTAAAGGATGCGCTCTATTTAGGTTTTTATTTTTTTGAGGTTGTGAACATTAGTTTAAAAAGAATTATAACTATATTTCATTTAAATGTAATTAAAATAAGGCTGGATAAAATAAGACATGATTTGGTTATTTAGGATAAAAGTTCTTATGTAGTGTGGTAGACACTACATAAGACACTACTACTATAATAGGTAAAGAGATTCCTCATAAAATTGGGAATAGAGCATTCGAGGTTGGCCTCACTTAGTTCTAACTTCTCTTTCTCGTAATAAAAATTATTTCAATACCTAATTATATGATGCTTTTTATTCCATTATTGTACTTTTTAAGCATTGTAAATTAGATATATTTAGAAATTGAGTAATGGAAGTATTTCTTTATAGAATGGGCTTGGGACGTTCTTCGTTTGTGTGACGAGTACCGAGACAAAGGAGTTGTTGGTATTGATATTGCTGGTGACGAGTGTGCATCTCTAGAAAGTAAGGGTAATAACGAAAATTTGTTTTGGTTACGTTCGTTTTATTTTGTTGAGATCAGAATGTTTGCAATTGCAAATTTAATATTTCTGCTGAATAGACTCTAAATCTCGAGTTGTATACAGTGTTATATAAGTACAAAAAAGATACATTTGTTAATAATGTCTTTGATATATATATACTGTATACATACCATAAATCTGGGTGAAATATTATACTTGTAAAACTTTCAGGCGAATCTTCAATGAATAACCCTGTAGATGTAGCAGTGTTTCAAGCAGCCAAAGAGAAAGGGATTCATCGTACAGTTCATGCTGGAGAGGCGGGGCCTGCCGATTGTGTTAGATTGGTAATACCATCAGCAGTGCTGACATGCTTTCAATAAATATATTGTTTATGTATTGTTGGCTCCAGGAACCAGTGTCCCAGTGGCTATCTCTGACCAGGCTTTCTGGTTGGTGGACTGGTCAACCAGGCTTAAGAGCTTAGATACTGCTGCTCGCAGTCTCATGTATAAATCACAGCCTAGTTCATCAAGTATCAAGTTTTTCAACACCATGAGAGGTTGACCTCTGGCAGTTGTTTGCCATATTGTTATTTTTTTTAATATAGATGTTTGATCATGCTTTGTGGACTGATTTCTTCAGTAAGGATTGAAAAACTGCTCAGATGGCATTTTGTAATACATTCTGTATATATTTACAAAGAGGATTCATTGGGGTTTTGAAATACTTGTAAATATGCAATATATACAATACATTTAAATACAATACATTTATATTAGGTTAGAACAGTGAATAGCTATAATTTAGTTAATATGGGTAAACTGATAGTAAGTACATTCTCACAAAGTCAAAAGAATACATTGCATTTTAAGTACATTTTAAAGATAACAGTGATTGAAGTATTGTATTGAGAATTTGTATTCATTTAAAAAATGAGCAATAGTACAGTCAATTATAAAGTACTCAAAACTAGTGGATATATTATAGTTAACATTTTATAATGCAAACATAGGCCAATAGTAGTAGGCTAGTGGTAAAAGGTGTTGATAATGGGTGTCTTCGTTATCTGCCAATGTTTGATGTTAAAAAAGGTACTTCAAGCGAGATGTCCCTGAACTAAGATAATCATCCTTTTTTTTTTATCAGGCGGTGGAAGCATTTGGAGCAGAGAGAATAGGTCACGGTTATCGTGTAATAGAAGATGAGAGTATATACCAAATGTGCTTGAAGGAAAAAATTCACTTTGAGGTCTGTCCTCATTCATCATATTTAACTGGATCGTTAAAACAATTAACATCCCATTCCAAAAGGCATCCTATTCTCAGGTAAGGAAGTGGTATTTACTAGTTAAATCTTATTTCTTGAACAGTTGTGATGGTAGCTTAATGATAAAAGTTTTGCTGGCTTATCTATTTTGTTTTTGTCTCATAAGCCATGTAAAAGGTCATATCACTGACTGATTTTGTAAGAAAAGGCTGCTTCATTGTTCATTCTCTTGTGTAGTTAGTTATTATTTACGAAATTTTATTGATGAAAGATACAGTATTTTCAGCTCAACAGTGTACAAATAATCAACTTCTTTGATAGTTACCTTTGTGCAGTACAGTACAAAGAAAGTAGGATAAGGAGAGCACATACAGGTTTCTGGTCATTGCTAGAAGTTTTTTATATATCTACTTCTCAGAAGGAAGTTTTATGCCCATTTCATTCTTATCCTTATTTTTGTGCCATATTCATCTCTCATCTTTCCTTGTTGCCCTTGTTCATATTTCCCCAATTGTTTATGTTGTACGTTGCCTACAAAGACAGATTCGTCATTTATCATCTGGTATTTAGAGAGATAATGATGGAAGTATCAGGAAAATCATCGTTGAGTTGAAATGCGGGACAGCTGTAGATATTGTTTAGATTTATGCATAAATGATTACATGTAGTGAAGAAAAAGAACATTGTGTGTTTAAAATTTGCTACATGATGATTGTGTAATAATGTAATGAGAAAATCCATAGGAGCCGTGATGAGGATTCGAACCTATGCGGTGGGTGTTTCCATGCACACGCCCTAGTCAACTAGGCCACAACATGGTAAAAGGATTGCAACCTGGAGTTCTACTGAGCTCATAAGGGTTTTCTGAGGCTTCCACTGAAGCTGGATCAGGATTTTTACACTAGTTGACTAGGGTGTGTATGTGTGTGTGTGTGGGAACTCCCACCGAATAGGTCGGAATCACAGTTCATCACGGCTCCTACGGATTTTCTCACTGACACGTCACGTTAGTGTGCTTACTCTGTGTAATAATAATAATAATAATAATATTAATAATGATAATAATTTTATTTAAAAATATACGTAAGAATATTATATAGTAAAGGGGGTTTATTAATTGTTACGGAGTAAGTACATTTAATAAGGCCACTAATACGAAAAACGTCTTGGGCATAACTGAAAATAATACAATAAGGTTGTTTAAAGGTTTGATGAGGTATACACTTAATACTAAACAGGAGGTAAGGTAACAAATATATTGTCTAAAATATCTTGCAAATGATATACAATACAGCTTTCAAGGACGGCATAACTTAAACAAGAATAAGAGAAAATTAACGTGTTAAGGGGCAATACTTAAAATTATTAGGTACAAGTAGATGATAAATAATTCATGAGTTTAAGATGCAGACATGGGGTGGGGTAAAACAAATAATAGATTCGGAGCAGACAAACATTGAAAGGAATAGGAGGAATGTAGAGAATTGGATCTAAAGCAAGTCATACCTGCACCAGAGATATATAGTCTTTCAAACCACTGTAGCAACTGCTACACTCCCAAACATGGCTGCAACTATTAATATTGGTCTAAGCCCAAAATCACTACACACCTTGGATCTAGATGGAACTGTAATTGACCCATCAAAACCTCTCTGAAATGCATGCAGTGAAAATCCAGCAGTACCAACCACTTTGACACCACACACACACACACATAAACACCTGAAACCTGGAACTTCAAGAACAAGAGGTCATAGATTTAAACTAATTAAACAAAGATGCCAAAGAAATATAAGAAAATTCACTTTCACAAACAGAGTGGTAGACGGTTGGAACAAGTTAAGTGAGAAGGTGGTGGAGGCCAAAACCGTCAGTAGTTTCAAAGCGTTATATAACAAAGAGTGCTGGGTAGACAGGACACCACGAGCGTAGCTCTCATCCTGTAACTACACTTAGGTAATTACACACTCTACTACTGCCAATATGGCTTATGCAGTGTCCTGCTTGCAGCTATGGATTCATCATAAATTACTTGATACCATCCTGTAATTTAGTACAAAAATATAATATTGTTGATGTGCTAATATCCAATGCACCCAAGCAAAATAACAATCATTAAGAGCTAATCAGTAAATTAAATTCTGACTGTAATAGCAGGCAAATGAATAAAAAAAAAAACAGCAATAGTAAACATCCCATGAAGAGAGGGAAAAGGAGTCTTGAGTCCAATGTGAGGTAATGTCAATTATATTCCATTCCTACTTCATATATGTCTATTTTTATTCAAATATTTTCCCATACTGTATATCTTTGTTCATCCCTGTCAGATCCCTCAACACTGTTGTCAGGCAGACATCTTCCATGTACTGGTAGTTATTTCTTCCCTGGTCAACTGTAACTACATAAACTCATTAACTCAAACTCAACTACATAACCTACATAAACTCTACATAAACTCAATAACTCAATGTAACTACATAAACTCAAACTCAGTATTAGTCATTAAAGTTTTTCCTGCCCGAAACGCTTTGCGTAATAGTGGCTTTAGGCATTGTATGTACTAGCTCCATCTATAAATCTATCAATTTATGTAAAATCTCTTGTATGTATGTACCTTACCTGAATAAACATTTTATTTTTATTTTATTTAACTAAACAGCTTCTCACACTACAGCAGGATGCAGTGTGCGTGTGTGTGTACACATACCATTGGGTATGTGTACACACACACGTTAATTAGTTTTCTTTTTAAGCGATTTGCTGTGTTATAAAAATAAACAAAGCAAAGATCTGTCCTTCAGAAAATCTTAAATTATAGTATGATAAATATTGTTCTTTAATGTGGTTTCATAAACAATGTGAAAATATTTTTTCTTAAAATTTCTGCTTTGGTTACCTATCTTACGTCAGGTTTGCGGAGGACGAAGCAAGCTTCAGCATAAATACCGATGATCCGACCATTACTAACACACAACTGAAAGATGAATATAGGCTCCTCTCTGATTGGGGTTTCACTGAGGCACACTTCACACGTGCAGTAAGTACCATTGTTTAGCAGGGGACTTTTGTTTCTTTATATATAATAAACACCAGGATGCAGAGTTCTAGGAAGACGTAACTGGTGGGCAAATTGAGCTGGTACCCTCACCAGTGATAATTCCTTTCAACTGCTAAAATATATTTTTTAATTGGGTATTATTTCTGAAGATTTATTAAAGTTTCTTTCTAATGATCTTTTGATAAATTACATGGTAAGAATTTTTTTTGAAAGCATTGTCAGATTTTCCTAGCAAAAATGTTTTCTGAATACACGTTTAAGGACAACTTTTATGGACTTCTCACTATTCTATACATGCATATTATATATATATTATATATATATATATATATATATATGTGTGTGTGTGTGTGTGTGTGTGTGTGTGTGTTCTTGTAGAAAAAGTGGTAATGAATAACCTAATGGGTTCCAGTGCCAGCTTGTGGTTAGTTATGTCTGACTAATCTTAAAGTATTCATTATTGCACACGCATTTCCATACACTTGCAGATACATACACATCTAGAAAAAAAAAAACATTATCTGTTACTTAATAATTAAATGTATAAGCAAAAATGTTTCATGCATGGTTTCAAAGGGTGTGCTTAGAGTGATGCTTATAGCTGCAAGCATATCTAGGCAAGTAGGCTACACACACAAGGAAAATGCAGTTACAAAAGTGCATATGTATTGACAGTGAATCAGGGATGCAAAGTCGGGTCTTGCAAGACTTTACATACAACAGATAAGGTATTACATCTCTCCATAAATGCTTTGCATAATTGCCAATTACAGGGATGCAAATAAGGCTTCTCGAAATCTGATGTATGCCATACCACCTTAAGCAAGTCGCCAAGATCCTTTGCTCTATTAATTACTGACATAAAACAAAAATGCTCAGCTATCTGTAAAGTCATCATTATTCCTGACAAAGAAAGGTGAGGGGATGCTTGTGAACATAGAATAAAATAAAATGCCGTGCACTCTGCCAAGGTTCGACTTGCGAGGTTAACAGTAACGTTCCAACCCATGGGAATGTACCCGACCTTAAATATTCTGGGCATCTCAAGGTCCCGCCTAGCAACACCAAAAAAGTTTTTACTACATTTTTCATGTTATCTCATTTAGTTTTTGCATTAAAGCAATAAATATGGTGTCAAAATATTCATACTTTAATTGAATTTGCTAGAGTATAGAATCAAAACAAAATGTGTTTTAATAATAGATTTGTATAGTAGTAGGCATCCATCAGTCTCAGGAGACTGGAGTTGTGTTCTGGTTGACGGTCTGGAATGGCCTCTCCAGGGTGCAAAGCCAGGGTAGATTGATATGGAGGAGAAGCTGTTACCCAAGCAGCAGGCCCCCCCTCTCTCCACAAGTGCCAAAAGTCTCCAGTGGAAAGGCAAACGCCAATACAATTGGTTCCAGTGCTGTCACAGGAACTGTGAGCTCCAGAGTTGACCTCAAAGTTGGTGAAAGAAGGCACAGGAACTCCAAACGCGGAGACCGTTGTGGACAGGGCCGGAGAAGAACCACCCCATCAAGGGTATGAACTGCCCTAGCCTCCTGAAGCAGAGCGTGGGTTGCACGATCCTTGGGAGGTAGACTTCCCGGTCCTGCACCTACGGGTTGCGGTTTACACACAGGGTTCCAAACAGAGATCGTCACAGCCCCCTTTCACCCGAGGCCAGCCTCCTTCAAGACCAAGCAGAAGGAAGAGTGATAATTATTAATTATATTATTATTATCACTCTTCCTTCTGCTTGGTTTTGAGGGAAGTCGGCCTTAGGTGAAAGAGCGCCGTGACTTTCTCTGTCTGGAACCCGTAAGTGCGGGATTGGGACGTCTTTGTCCTGGGAAAGGGGAATGTCCCAGTACAGGACTGGGACATCCACCTCCTGCAGCTCGTTTGGCTCAGGCTCTACTTCAGGAGGCTGGGGTCGTTCTTACCCTTGACGGGGTGGTTCTTCTCCCGCCCCAATCACAGCGGTCTCCGGGTTTGGAGTCCAAGACAGTCAACAGTCTTGCCAAGTGAGGGGCTGGGAAATATTTTTATGGTTTGCCTTTTTAATAGTAATTTCTAGGTTGTATCGATTAATTTCTCCAGCGACTCCCTCAGCACAATATGATCGCATAGGGAGGCTTAAAAATTCCTTGTGGCACTGTGTTGTATGTCACCCATGCCTGACTGCATGGTCTGATGTCTAAGGACACACTGGGACCTTGGATGAGAAAGCAGTTGAATGCAAGAGTTCAGATAAAGATAAATTTATTCATACTTTATTCAAATACAAATTTGTTTAACGCTCTAAAGGTTTCATGAACACCCTGTGTACAGTATATTCATGAGGTGATAAATGTGAATGTAAAAAGCAAAGAAAAACAGGAAAAAATTAAATCATATATTTGTTTGCCTGGCAAGTGTGTTATTAATCACCATTATGCTTATGGTAAGTGGTGTAGGATATGCACCCTCCATTGTGGCTATAAAGGTGCCGAGATACTAGGCAATACATTGCTATTAGAACCATTTGGCACCTTTCAGATTTCAAACACTAGCCTGAAAAATGTTATCACATTGCATGATCCATGAGTGTTCAAACAATAATTTTACTAAACAAATAGCATGAAATGAAGGTGCAGATGTGTGCATGCGAAAGGGAAAGTAGCGCTAATATTCAAGTAAGGGACAGTCATGAAATCTAAAACTACAGGCTGGTTTCACAAGCCTGTACAATATTAAAGTAGAGTAGTGGTGAAAAAACAGACTGGTGGAGCACCTGGAGAAAAAAAAGCTTTGTAATTGACAGACAGCATGGCATGATGGGTTGGGGAAGGAAATACTTGAGAAAAACTCGATGGCTTTTTCTTGGCCGTATAAACAGTCTACATTAGACCAGTTCTATAATGGATAGCACTGACATGGAATTCTCATCTTGTAAAGCATTAGGTCAGAAGGTTGCATTAAGGTTGTTAGCTGACCTGATAAAGCTTATATTTGCTGGTTAGGATTGTAAATATGGTCAAGGGAATTCAACGTAACACCTCCAGAGGAGACATGATAGTTATACCATATACAGAATAATGAGGGATGTAAATAAGGTTGACAGACAACTTTTTCCAATAGTGATAATAGGGAAAGAAGACAGGTTAAAATTGAGAATACAAATGTGTTATTGAGATGTAAGGAAATATTGGAATGCTGTGCAGTTTGTTAATGAGCAATACACTTGAAGCGGAAGCCACATCCATCCAACGCCTACAGCAAATATGATAAACTTGAACATTAGAAGTTAAAAATAAGGTACCAGGTACTAATAGGTAGGTGGTGGTGCCTAAAGAGCTAGACCTCACTCCTTATAGTGTTAGGGGGAAGAATATGCATGCACAAGCATACATACAGTATTGGCACCCCCCTAATAGATAGGCACCCATGCATGCCCACCCCCCACTTCTTCCCATGCATGGCCACCCCACTTCTCTTCATGCATGCCCACCCCCACTTCTTCTCCCCATGCATGCCCACCCCACTTCTTCCCCTATGCATGCAAACCCCACTTCTTCCCATGCATGCCCACCCCTTTTCTCCCCATGCATGTATTTTCTTTACAAATACTACTAAATTAGCATTTACTTTAACATGTTTCTTTGCTTTGATGCAGAATCTTGAAGCTGCTAAGCACTGTTTTTTGCCTGATGTTGAGAAGCATGCACTTGTTACCAATTTAAGAAAAGCTTATGGAGTCGTGTAGCCGTGTCTAGATGCCTGAAGAGGAAGGGCTTCAGGGTAAAGTGGTTTTCATGGCTTATGTTTATATATCATGAAACACAAAAGCTGAATATATATTCATTTCAGAATTCTAATTTCTTTATGGAGTGTATATTTGTTCCTTCCTCAAGCAGTCTATCACAATGGGCTGGTTTGTCATTCATAGGCTTGGGCTCAAAGCCTAAAGTGCCAGTAGTGAAAATAAAACCCGACAAAAAGCATGAATATAATACGTATTGATAAATTATCAAAGCCAAAACAGTTTATTTTATTTAATTACCAGTTGCTGTAATTTTATTAATGAACAAGAATTACACTGAATTCAGACAAAGAAGTTTGAATTTCTGACGACATAATAGCAAGATGTAATAGAGAAAATGTATCGAGTGTTCTGGAGGCGAATTTAATTGAGGCCTCATTCCAGTCTTTCATATTCAATCTGTTGTCAATCTTCAAGTGATTCAGTGTTCTTCTTTTTAATCCAATTAATACTGTATATGCTCTTAAATATTCTGTAATGCTTTTTTTAAGGCAAAATTATAATGTACTTGCAGAATTTCCAAGGGGCTCTCCACTCATTCCTGCCACCCGAAGAAAAGAAAGCTCTTGTGGATCAACTTCGTGAAGCTTATTGTATTATTGATTACACACTACCTGCTTCAGCATCTGTTTCACCATCTGCCACGCGTGTGTCTACACCTCCACCAAAACCAAGTGTCACCTTTGGAACCTGGGCAGAGCGCTCTTAAAAAATAAAAAAATAAAAATAATAATAGTGGGATAAAATAATTGCTTAATATATGAGCTTAGTTGTAACATATTTTTTTAAGACATGTTAATTTTGCTTTATGCTCTTCATTTTGTGTACATTTGTATAAATGCCTTGTTGACATTGTATCTTATTATACTCTAAATTAATTATATTTCATTTTAGGCTTTCCTAATTACTGTATTCTAAAATTTATATTCTAGTTATAAGCAGCATCAAGTTACAGAGGACCACTTGCTTTGCGAATGCCTCGGGGATGAGACCCATCGGTTACCATGTAAGTTCGTAAACGAGAAATCGTGAGTGGAAAACGAAAAAGTTAGTGGGAAATGAAAAAGAAAACGTGAGTTGGATTGGGTTGTTATAAATAGGAGCTGCCTCGTATGGGCCTATAGGCCTTTTGCAGTTGCTTTTGTTCTTATGTTCTTAAATGTAGGGAAAAAATAAATGAGAAATGTTGGGAAAAAATTTACTGGTTCATAGAATAAATGTGACAGTATTTTGTTTAAACTCACCAATAAAAGAGGTCCTGATCCACTTGTTATATTCATGATCATTGTTGATGGAGCATAGTTATTTACATGGAAGAGGTGGTGGTGAATGTTGATGGTGTTGGGTTGACTGAAGTGGAGATTAATTGTGATGAGGTAACCTCAGATGTTGACGCATTTGAGTCAACATGTGATGAGTCAGGTGCAGATGGGGCAATGCGAGCTTTCTTGGAAGCCTCCCTCCCACCCCTCACTGCTGCTCTTCTTCGTCACCTCACACTTCTGTTTGAACCACTCCCACACTGCATTATTAACACTTTCCACTTTTGCTTTACTTACTACCTTTCTATATCATATTGCGTTATCACTTTCACTTCTAGAGAAATAGTAAAAATTGACAGGTTTAGCCTTAAGAAGATAAAAAACAGTACTTTTAATGCCATATTCAGCGCACATGACACTTCTCGGGACTCCGCTCTCCATCTTCTTAGTTATTTCAACTTTCTTCTCAAATATCATCACTGACCTCCTCCTTTTACGTATCCCGCTTGTTGATGGGTTTCACTGACACAATGCATGCATTTGGAGCTGACATGGTGCACGGATGTTCCTAGATTGTGCACGTATATCCAACAAAAGTCACAGAATGAACACTCCAGTCTTGTAACAAATCGAAACAGTGGGCTATAATATATGACTTCACAGGGTAGAAGGCACTAGAGTGGTGCCTGACATGGTCAGTGGGCAAACTAGGCCATCTCCCACCCATTACTCTCCCAGGCCAGCGCGAGGTCTGGCAGACCGCTTCCTTGCTTCCCGAACTTAGTTTGGGAACCATGAAACCCCAACCTCGATCGTGAAACTGGAACTTTCGGATAACTTAAGTTTGCAAACCAAGTGGTTCTCTGTAATAACTTTTGAATTAATATAAAATGCTATTGTTGCACCTTGGCAAGGACTTTTATTAATTTCTAAATCTTTTTCTCGAGCATTGTTTGTGTAATGTACATAATGCAATGATTTGTACTTTTACTGTTATAGTTCAGGTACCTAATCTGGGAACTGCTCGATAGGAACAACTTACTGAAGTGAGATAAATATAGTATGTGTATGGCCAATCCAATGTTAAGTACAGTTAATACAACTGAGAACAATATCATCATCAAAAGTTGGTAACTCATCATACTAGTAATTAAAGTCAGGAATTTATCACTATTGCCCTTGACAACCACTTGCCACCATCACTGAACCTTGTCAGAACTCTACATACAATAGGAACCCCTCTATTTTAATTAATCATATCTAGTACTAACTTGAATCCTTTGCCATCATTTTCTCCAACAGAAAGGTAGACAATGGGCTTGTTTTCATTGACAATTACTATATCAAAGTGTGTGTGTGTGCAATGCTGAAATAATTGTCCAATCAGTAATGTCAAAGAAATATCAGGGTAGCTAACTGACAAAAATTTTAATTTGACATTCTGTCCAGCTCTCCAGGATTTCTCCCATCATCTGAACACTTGAACTGGTCGATACTCCCAGAGAGAAATTATTGTTTGTTGTTGAACATGTGGAACTGTCATTACTCATGTTAGGGAAAGACTTGATGTAATTGAAATTTGGTGATATGTGAGTCTGCAAAAGGTTCCGGGATGTCCTCAACAACACTACTGTTGAATATGTGTGCTCTGTCGAAGATACAGTAAGAGGTGTTCTGCCCAAACCCGGCCTTGGGCCGAGTTTGGGAAAGTAGAAGAACTCCCAGAACCCCATCAAGCAGGTGTCTTGGGTTTGTAGATTGTGGAGCGCAAACTTTTAGTATAGAGAATTCATACCTATAATTGATGTTGGTAAAGAGAGAAACTGACTACTGTTTCCACTGCAAATCTTAAGACTTGAAGAGAAACTCAGAACTGCTCACAGATAATCCACTGATTACAGAATATCATTTCACATCACCTTAACATTTTTTTTTTTACCATGATCTTTCCTTCCCACGGTGGGTGGTCACATGGACAATGTTTAAGTGCTTTGGTCACTGACTGTCTTGTTAAAGATATTGCTCAAGTTGTAGAAGCATTATATTTGCCTAGAGTTTGACCTTTCAATTGTTCGTTATTATGATACTTGAAGACTTAGTATTATGAATAAACTAATTCTATAAGAGAAACATTGAAGCAATTATGCAAGAGATGTAAAGACAGAGGAAGTTTTCATCACTTAAGTTACAATAGTTAATTATTGGAAGAAATAATATGTTGAGTCACTCATGTGGCCCTAGTGCATATTATTGGTTTTAAAGATGCCTGTTTTAGTGTGGTTTTTTCTATTTACATATTTTGAGGGTTCATAGAATTTTTTCTCTTGTATTAATATGTCAGTACTTCATGTCTAACCTTGTGGAAGAACAGTTGGTTTTAGATTAAATTATCAATTTGCTCAAATGGATGATTTTTTCCTCTTTATCAGAGCAATAATAGGAGCATAGCTTTCATTGGCTCTATTAATTAAATTTTGGCCCCATCATATTGGGTGCTTTTACTGGAAAAGATACTTAATACTTAGTCCTCAAAGGATATTAATCTACAACTAGTACAGTACTGTTAAAGGTACTTGTGTACAATAAATTTTCTTTTAATCGTTGTAAATGAATAACGGCTAGTTTATCCAACGTAAAATTTTTATTGCAGTTAGTCAATGTAGCATAAGCAGTCACTTATGTGAGGACTGTTTTGGTGCTAATAATGTTTAAAACATTATTCTTCAGGGAATGCTTGTTACAAACAGTATATAAGTGAACATTTATTGTTAACTGTTGATTAGAATATTTTACTAACAAATCATGCTGCTGCATAAATTATTGATCAAGCATAATCCAAATGTGAATTATGCATAGTTGAGAACTTTATAATAAAGTGACATTAAATTTTATATGAAAACTTTGTAGTTGTGAAATAAATTACAAAAAAAAAATTCTCCAAAACTAATTTTAAGATAAATATCCTTCCCCTGGCAAGATGGCAAGTCTAATGTCTTAGTCTCATCTCTGACAAGACTTATGCTTTTGTGGTGCATTGCTATGGCCTGCCCTTCTTCCCATCTTCTATTCCAGAACAAATTCCAAGTTCTGGCTGGATCCTGAAACCTCCACTAGTTCACCTATTGCCCTTCTGCAGTCTGATGCAAAAAAATGTTTCTCTTAATTCTCTATTGTCATTGTTCACACTTTCTTCCCAGCTTTTTCCTTGCTACTCGACCTCTGTACCTTTCTTTCAACGATGCGAGCTCCTCGGGTTGGGCGGTAGAGTGACAGCCTCGCTTCATGCAGGTCAGCATTCAATCCCCAACCGTCCAAGTGGTTGGGCACCATTCCTTTCCCCCGTCCCATCCCAAATCCTTATCCTGATCCCTTCCAAGTGTTATATAGTTGTAATGGTATGGCACTTTCTCCTGATAGTTTCCTTTCCTTTTCCTCTTACTCTGTTCTTTCCATTGGCCCTTTCCTCTGCCTTTTGCCTTTCCCTGGACAATGGTCATCCAGGCTAGTGCTCACCACCTCATTGATCTCCACCAGAGACTGTTTTGGCAATCATGTAGCACTTTGAATTTACAGTGTTTTTTGTCTTCCAGTCAGAAGCCTTGAGATTTTGATTCCTTTAAGCCAACTACTTTTTATGTATCAACTTTTGTTATTTGTGGTGACTCTTGCAGTGCCCTCATGACTAAGCCCTTAACCCTTTTCATCTTGTAATGGTTGAAATCCAGCACTGGTGTTTTCATCATTAATAAATTAATAACAGTTCAAATTTTGCTGCGAACCCAGCCATAGTATTGGTATTACCTTTAATGAACTTGCAGACTGCTGCTATGATTGATGGCCATTCATGCATGTCGCAGAAGGATTCCTTATTTGGATTTCTACCCAGTTATTTATACAGCAATCTTCAACCGTTGGTATGATTAATGCATACTATTAAATGTAACTTTTCCCCATGACTTTCCTCCTCCTACTGTAATAGATTGATGGAGGTGGCTCTAAATAAACTGTGTATTGGCCACATATGTTGAGCTCTTGGACATTTTGATAAAATAATGCCCTACTTCTTATTGTCCTGCTTACTGTCTTGTACCTCCTAGTAGAATGTCGGATACCCAATTCCAGCACCAGGGATTTATTTGCCAAGAAGTGTACCACATTTTGTAGTCTTTATATAGTAGATCCTTATGTAATATAATTTTCATTTAATGACCAAAAATTTAAATTACACGCACTCACTACATGCTTCCCTGTTCACCCCAGAAAAAAACCAAGACTACTAACTTCTCAGTCCACATACACCCATTCACTAAGACATAATAAGGGTTAACCCATATTATCTGTTAAGTAGACATGCTTCGGTTAATAGGGTTGGAGAATCAGAAATTTCAATGTGAAATTCTATAATCAGGAACATAGGATTCTGAATAATAGGGGTTTCTACTGTGTTTGTGGTAGAACATAAAAATGGGAAGGGTGTTACATGTAGAAATTATGGTTATATTATTAGTCATATATGCAGTAATGAAGTAATAAATCAGTATTTAAATTTACAGGTTTTTAACCCATTATTCTTTATCAGCATGACAAAATCTGGGAAAGTTCTGAAAGAAATACATATTTTAATATTTTATAATTTTTGTGACTTCAAACATTTTAAGGGGAATTTATATATTTTTCTCTCATACAAAATTTGACCAGATGTTAATGTGGTGAGTAAAAATAATGAATAAAAAAAACAAATTTCTAATTCCACAATTCTTCCTTACTGTAATAGGCTTCATGGCTTCCTATTGCTGGGACTGGAAGCCTGTTAGGCTTTTACTGAAGTATGATCTTCTCCAGGATGCAATGTGCAACAATTATCAAAAATAAAGAAATGTGTACTACTATAATTTGAAGTCTTCAAGTTGTAAGCTGACTGCATTAATCGCTGTATGACAGATCATGTATTTATAATGCCATGTAATAATATTATATCTACTCGAACTCCATTTACCAGTTTAAAAATGTAGAAAATAACTTTCATATTCAGAGACAAATGTTAAGTTTTGTCTGCTCTCTGGTTTTCTTCCCCTGCAAATTACTATATACAGCTGATCAGAAATAGGCTTTTATGCTAAATGGATTTATTGAAGGAAAAATTCTGCTTTATACAAACTTGGTTATATCGGTGGGAAGGAGACAGAACGAATGGGAGGGAGGAAAGAAATGAGAACAGAAAGGGGGGGAGAGAGAGATGGTAGAGAGACTGTCAGAGAGACAGAGCCAGAGACCTGGGCACTGCTAGGTACCCCATTTGTATGTACAAGGTTGGAAACCACATGCTTGGCAACTTTGCAGGGTGATTGGGGATTTTTGGAGGGTCTCATAAGGTAGGTTGGGGTTGACCCCTGCACCCTTCCTCCCTTGAAGGGGGCATCATCCTCCACACCCCTTCACGAAGTTGGTGGATATGAAATATGCAACCAAAAGTCTGTAGAGTTTAGCACTACTTTAAATATTAGTATATTCAGATTTTGACATGCAAAACATATGTTTACACAAGAGATTTGCATACTGGACAGCCTTTTGATTACAGCGATTTAGATAGTGTGTAGTGAAAATGGTTAGTGATAGGGAATATAGGGAAGAGTATGCATGGGTGGAAATGGGGAGTGTAAGTGGAGATGGGTATAGTGTGAAGATGTTTACAGTGATGAAGACAATGTTCTGAAAATGGTTAAAGTAATGAAGCAAGATTAGGAAGGTGTGTGGAGGGGTGAGAAGGAAGGTGTATGTTGTAAGAGATATGGAAGGTAAGTAGGACAGGCCTGGGCACAGGGGACCCAGGCACTGCTGGATGCCCCATCTGGTGAATACATAAGAGAGAATGTCTGTCCAAGGCTGGACCTAGATGCTTGGGGCTAGCCTCATCCAGAGTTCACACATGAATCATGTGGGGTTATGGGAGTGCAATAGGCCAGTTGGAGTAGGCTCAAGTGCCACACTAACAAATATCAACATATAACCACCACACCACCTGTGTGATTTTCATGAAATCTGGAATATTAGTTGTGTTGTCTTTAGATTTATTTAGCAATTTAAGTTATTTGTTATATGATTTTTCTGAGTGAGGAGGAAGATGGGGGGAGAGAGAGGGAAGAAGGATTGAGATGGGGGGGAAGTTTGAAGAGTGGGAAGCAGAAAGGGAAGAGAGGGTAGAAATGTTGGGGACAAAGGTGGAGAAGGGAAAATAGGAAAAAAGTGTATGAGAGAAGGGGAAGTGGGGAGAGAGACCCAGGTGCAGCGGGGGTTTTCTTCCAGCTAGCTTATGTATAACAAGACAGTGATAAAAACGTTGCACTAACCTATTTTTGTGGCCGTGCCTTACTAGGGTCCAGGTAGTACAGTCTGGTTCGTTCTCGACTCACAATCAGGAATTCCGGGTTCGAATCCTGGGTAGGACAGAAATAGTTGTCGCGTTTCCCCCATCATCTAATGTTCACCTGTTCACCTTACAGTAAATAGGTACCTGGGAGTTAGTGAGCCTGTTGTGAGGTCACGTCCTGAGGGAGGGCCATTCGACCTTGGGGAACCTTGATATAAGCCTAACATATATACACCGGCTGCCTGTCCCCCACACAATGAATACATTATTATTATAACCAAAAATGGCATCGGGTCATACGGTATTAATCCCGTAGAGGAGTGGCAAGAGGCGCCAGGTATATTGCTGCTGATTTAGAGGCAACGACGATCGTGGGATCGGATGCGCCCCGTCGTACTCGTGAAGGGTTAATTGCGAAGCCTAATGGGGAAATGAATGTCGCTTATCAGCTGAAATTAATTACGTGCCTCCCGGCAAATAAACACATAGATGGGCAGATGATTGAGGAGCCCCAGGAGTCCCTCAGGGTGACAAGCACTAGCCTCGCCCCGTACAGATAACATTGGGTAGCAAAACAAAAAACTCGGCCCCCCAACTAAACTGCAAAAAGTTATCAAGTGCCCTTCGGCAGAGCAGCAGCCCACCACGTCTGAAGGCCCACCAACTCTTGGCCAAGCCGGCGCCGGACACCACTTTCCCGGCCGAAGAACCAGCCAGAAAACGTTCAAAATCTGAGGCGCCGCGGGTATGAGAGCTCTAGGCATGTGAAGGCCATGATTACTCTAAACAAAAAATTATATTAAAAACAATACATCACAGTAACAAAATACAGTTCTAATATTATAACAAATTAAAATGTCTTAAAAAACAGTGTGTACAGAGCCGCAGAGTGCATTTCCCTGCTAAATTTAGGGGATTTTTTTTCCATGTGGCGGAGTCGACAACGTGACTCGGGTGCCCGCGGGTCACCAGCTTGTGCTCGCGCGTCCGCCTCGGTGCCGCTCAGTCATTTACTCAACAATTCTCAACTAATTTTATTGTTTTCATGCGAACTTTGATCATTTTTTCTGCCAAGACCATGTGTGGTAGCAGGAGCAATCGTCCTGGAAGTGTTAAGAGGAAGAAAGTTGTGCTAGCCAATTGAGTGCAGATACGGGCAGTGTTGAACTATTTGGACATGACACTTCAGCTGTTGGCAGCTAAAACTGCCCTTGACAGGCTCATGTACAGTAATTTTAGTGTTAGGTTAGGTTACACAAATGAAGCTTCTCAAGATCTGACAATCAAGCAGACGAACTCCAACAAGGTAAGGTGAAATTTCTGTTGTAATGTTGTTTTTCAATCCTCTCCTTACCAGCCAACTTACGGGCTATTCAGGCCCGTGCCGCCACCTCCTCTTGGGTGGCATTATCTTCATCAGTCAGTCAATCCTTACCACGTGTCGTGTATTGAAATGCGAATTATGTTGGCTGTAGTATACAAAATTCCGAATATGTTCATTTCTTAAGTTTCCTGGTAAGATCTTATCTGGTATGGGCGCCTTCACATATGGGCCGGACAGCTGGCTGCCTGTCCCCCGGCACAATTGATTATTATTATTATTATTATTATTATTATTATTATTATTATTATTTAACTGCTTCACCTTCAGAGTAAATAAAGACAGTTAAAGTAATAATAATGCATAATTTGCTTTGTCGGGGGCTGGCAGCCTGTGTGTATATAAATATATATATTTTACGCTTGCATCGAGGTCTCTCCAAGGTCGAACTACCCAGCAAACATTTTCATGTTTTTAAAACATCCTAAAAACGACATTTCATTGTTTTCAGCACGTTTATAATTACGTTTAGAAAAGGTTTTTTGAGAACTTTTATATACAACCTTAGAACGTAAATAATTAACATTTCTAAAAACTTTTTTATAATCTTTTAATTACCTACATTAAAACGTTTAGGGTAAATTAGGGTATAATAATTTTTTAATTCATATCTGAAATAGAAAGGGAGAGAAAGAAAGAAGACATATCTGAGAAAGAAATGGACATCCTATATATGTATGTGCAAATTACAAATAAATAGGGTACAAAAAGAGAATTAAAATATTATATTTATTTAATTAAGAATGAGTAATACAACAAAATATATGTAATAGCTCGAAATATATAGACTATATCTATAACAGAATATAAAAGTAAAAATTTAAAAATCTATAAAAATCTATATATGCAATATGTGAACACAATAGATTTTGTGATCAAGCAGCCTGTGATTCATGTCATGCTGAGATCAGTCTGATGTTACAAGCAGTTATTGTTACTTAAAACTAAAACAAGTAAAATTTTCCGAGTATACATATAACACTATAGTTTTTCTATGACTAATAATAAAAATCTATTAATCAAAAGTTTAGGACTAATTAACTAAAAATAAAAATCTACAAGTGAATGTAAACAGTCAAGTATAATATTCATGTAGAAAGAGAAAGAAAAAGAGAGAGAAGGAAATAAAGAGAAAGAAAGAAAGGGAGAAAGAGAGAGAGAAAGAAAAGAAAAAAGTCATGTATAATATTCATATTAGCACCATGCAATATAACTTAGATTAAGTAAAAATCTCAGACATTTTTAAATCAAATGAAATATGAGAGCCAGAGAGAGAGAGCGAGAGCCAGAGAGAGAGCGTGAGCCAGAGCCAGAGAGAGAGTCAGAGCCAGAGAGAGAGAGAGAGCCAGAGCCAGAGAGAGAGAGAGAGAGCCAGAGAGAAAGAGAGAGCCAGAGAGAAAGAGAGAGCCAGAGAGAGAGAGAGAGAGAGAGCCAGAGCCAGAGAGAGAGAGAGCCAGAGCCAGAGAGAGAGAGCGTGAGCCAGAGCCAGAGCCAGAGAGAGTGAGTCAGAGCTAGAGAGAGAGTCAGAGCCAGAGAGAGAGAGCCAGAGCCAGAGAGAGCCAGAGAGAGAGAGAGCCAGAGAGAGAGCCAGAGAGAGAGAGAGCCAGAGAGAGAGAGAGCCAGAGAGCGAGAGCCAGAGAGAGCGAGAGCCAGAGAGAGCGAGAGAGCCAGAGAAAGAGAGAAAGAGAGGGGGAGAGAGGGCCAGAGCCAGAGAGAGAGAGAGAGAGCCAGAGAGAAAGAGAGAGCCAGAGAGAAAGAGAGAGCCAGAGAGAGAGAGCCAGAGAGAGAGAGAGAGCCA